TGGGATCCTGATCCTCCATAAGATCCTGATCCACCCCCTTGGGATCCTGATCCTCCATAAGATCCTGGTCCACCCCCATAGGATCCCGGTCTGCCATAGGATCCTGATCCGCCCCCGTAGGATCCCGGTCTGCCATAGGAGCCTGATCCACCGCCATAGGATCCCGATTCCCCATAAGATCCCGGTACACCCCCATGGGATCCTGATCCTCCATAAGATCCTGATCCACCCCCTTGGGATCCTGATCCTCCATAAGATCCTGGTCCACCCCCATAGGATCCCATTCCTCCGTAGGATCCTGATCCACCCCCGTAGGATCCCGGTCTTCCATAAGATCCTGATCCCCCATAAGATCCTGATCCCCCATAAGATCCTGATGAGCCGCCGTAGGATCCCAAGTCATTCCCGTAGGACTCAGGGAGCCCATAGGATCCTGAGCTGTCCCCATAGGAGCCCAATCCCCCATAGGATCCTGATCCGCTGCCTGCTTGGGATCCACTGCCCCCCTGGGAGCTGGGTCTGCCTGATCCAGACCCACTTCCCCCCTGGGATCCGCTGCTGCCTCCATGGGATCCAGGTCTGCCCGATCCAGATCCAATTCCCCCTTGGGATCCTGGTCTGCCTGATCCAGATCCACTGCCCCCCTGGGAGCTGGGTCGGCCTGATCCTGAACCGGATCCTCCATATGACCCCCCATAGGATCCTGACCCGCCTCCATAGGATCCAGATCCGCTGCCTCCTTGGGATCCAGGTCTCCCTGCTCCCAATCCGGCCCCAGACGATCCCGAACTGGATCCTCCTTGGGATGAGCCGGGTCTGCCTGATCCAGATCCACTCCCCCCTTGGGATCCTGGTCTGCCTGATCCGGATCCGCTTCCTCCCTGGGATCCAGGTCTGCCCGATCCAGAGCCAATTCCCCCTTGGGATCCTGGTCTGCCTGATCCAGATCCAATTCCCCCTTGGGATCCTGGTCTGCCCGATCCAGATCCATTTCCCCCCTGGGATCCAGGTCTGCCCGATCCAGATCCGCTGCCTCCATGGGATCCAGGTCTTCCTGATCCAGATCCGATTCCATAGGATCCCAGACTAGATCCTTCATAGGAGCTGTCTCCCGCGTAGGATCCGCTTCCCCCATGTGAGCTGGGTCTCCCTGATCCACCCCCGTAAGACCCGAGTCCGTAGGATCCTGGCTTGCTCCCGGAGGATTCCGGCGACACGTAGGATCCCGAAGAGCTTCCGCCTCCCTGGGATGCTCCCGAGCCACTGTAGGATCCCGATCCACCCCCATAAGATCCCGATCCACCCCCATAGGATCCTGAGTTGCTGGAGGATCCAGAGCCGCCGTAGGATCCTGAGCTGCCTCCATAGGATCCGGTCGCATCCTCACCCAGCTGGGGGCTGAGGAATCCGGCGGGTTCCTTGCAGGGATCCACCCCGGCCGTCAGCGGAACCAAGCGGGATCCTGAATCACAGCGGCCGGAGGCATCTGGGCCAAAGCGGGGTGTCAGTGGCACCCGGACACCTGGGTCCCCCCGGCTCCCAGTCCATCCCAG